CCCTTTCATTATCTTCGCATCTCTCAATCCGTTATCATAAGTCGTAGACTGTCTAGCCAGACATCTCGAGTAACTGTCGGCAAGTTGTGAAAGAACAAAGAATGAAAAACATCTTTCAATTAGCATATGTTGTTGCAAAGCGCACACTCGTGCCTCATGTCACAACCAATCTTATGGTCGTATATCTTCAAATTTTTTCGAGAGATTTTTTCTGTCGAAGACAGATGGCGCGAATGAGTCACAAAGGGTTGAGAAGAAAACGGTAGAAGTAGGTAAACATTTCAAATTTTTCCTTGACTTGGAACGGAAGGAGAGACACGTTATTCGAAATTTTTTGAAGATGCATTTGGGTTGGGACAGTAAAATCGGCATGTGAATCTGTTATATTAATTCAAATATCATATGATTTAAAAAGATTGAGATCTTGGTGATCTTTGAGATTCACGTAGGTGCTTGGAATAGCTGCATGACTACACGAACGTCTAGAAACAGGTGCAATACAAAACCTGTATTAGAAGAGCCTCCTCACCTTGAATTAGTTTTTTTCGGTTACTGTGAAAGATATATAAAAGTTGTCAACTGACAAATTGTTTATCATAATATCATAATTTTTGGTCAGTTGGCATGTTTTCGATATCTTGCGTAGGAATTGAGATAGGCGAGCTCAAACTTGATAGTGTGGAAGCCCTTCTATTACAGGTTTTTAGGTACATAAAGGCACATGACAAAATTTAGAAAAAAAATTGGGTTTTCAGTAGGAAACGGCTAAGGATGAGGATCTGAAACGGTTCCTAATTACCCTGAAATTTCCCAAAAAGTTTGGAGCTCCTTTGAAAAATTTTCAAACAGTTTTTCTTGGTAGATAAGAAGCTTTGAAACTCTTGGCATTGTTTCGTACAGGCAGATTAAGCTTCTTCGTCGCGTATCTAAAAAATAAAACTGTAGATTTCCTGCAATTCAAATTTCAGATTCCTGCACTTTAGGAATTTATGAAAACACTGAAAACAGTGCCGCCCAAACCGTCAACTTCGAGCCAATTTATCTCAGTTCCTGTAAAATATATCAGAAAGTAGTAAACTGATAAAATACTTTTGATATTTTGATAAACTTTTTTTTTTCAGTTTATTAATTTTTGATATCTCTTACAGGAACCGAGATGTATGAGCTCAAAGTTGACGGTTTGGTTGAAAATATGTTAGAGTGATAACTTCGGGGTTCTTTTTGATTTGGATGCCTTCCAATGTATTGTCTCCTACCGTTTTGAGGTCGAACATTTTGAGAGAATGAGGCGAAACGAGGAGGGATTATAAAAACGAAAATCTTCTGAGAGATTTGGTATCCAGATAACGGATTTTTGCAGTCAGAATATGTTATGAAAGCTTTAAAAAATTAAAGATAAAAAAGTTCTGCATAGTTTGGCGCCAAGCTGAATGTGTCTCTAGTCATAAGCCTGAATTGATGAGGTTACTATGACTAACGAGCACATCCAGCGTGGCACTGTTTAGCAGAAAAGCTTACCTTATAATAGTAAAGATAGTAGAATTGAAGAAGAAGAAGCTTCTGAAAATATTCAAAAAAGTTTTTTTTTCGGTAAAAGAAACCTGGACGTCAGAAGAGAAAGGGAGTGACAGAATGTCAAGAGATGGCGGGAGAAGAAGAAGGAAAGGGGCGGAGCATCAGTAAAGAAGAAAAGGAGAGAGGGAGTTAGAGAACACGGGCAAAAATAGTAGAAAGCTTTAAATGGAAATAGGGCGGAGTTGGGGGAAGTGTAGCGGAAGTGGGCGGAGTCAAAGTGTCTGGAGCAATGCTTGATTAAAGTTTGAAACGTAAGCAATTAAGGATTTAAAGTAGGAAAGGAATTATGAAGAATGACTGGATTATACGAGTTGGTTTTTAAAATATTGAGAGAAATGAAAGAAATTATGACTTGAATCCTGTTTGCTCGAATCTATTGAAAGCATGGTCCTTTCAAAAAATCTTACCTTACTCAGATGCACAGTGTCTCGAAATTTCGAAAAAATCAGAGTTGATGCTTGTGATAAAAGGGAACTCATGAATGACAATTATTTTAGAAAATGTGAATCTAGTAATCAATTTTTCTACGACTTCCGGATCTTCTGTTGACTTCCTTCCTGCAAAGATTGATGATCTTATGGATTCATTAAAATTATTCACAGATTCTTATCATTACTACTTCTGGATATAATAAGTGTGAGTGTTGATCTTTTTTTATGTGAGTGTTGATCTTTTGAAAAAATTATTTTGAACTTGAATTGGAAAATAAATTTTCAGGAATATTGGATTGTAAATTTCAATGATCACTAAATTTGGTGTCAAATGTTCTTTTCAAAAAGTTAAAGGAATCCAAAAATTCACGAGAAACCAAGAATTCGTGAAAGATGTGATAATACCGAAATTACCGTAAAATCTTTACTAGAAGAGACACTGGCGTTTAACTTTGAACCAATTTTTCTTGGTTCCTATGCAAAATTTCAAAAATGTGTTTTCTGATAAAATGTTTTTCATAATGTCGGAAATGTTTTGTTAGTTGAAACGTTTTCGATAACGTTGCATAGGAATTGAGTTAATTGAGCTCGAACTTGACAGTGTGATAGCCCTTCTATTACCGGCTTTACGGTCTCAGTTTTCCAATTCCAGATTCCAAATTTTTCATTTTTTTACAGAGCATTGTACAACTTTTTGTTTTTTAACTCAATGTCAAGATACTGAAGTTACTCTAGTTTTCAGAAGGAAACCCAAACTGCCAACTTTGAGAACATATATTACAATTCCAGTAGAAGATTCGAAAAAGAATTCAACTAACAAAATGTCGATCATAACATCAAAAATATTTAGTCACTGGGCCACTTTTTGATATCAGTTACAGGAACCGAGATATATGGACTCAAATTGCAAGTATAGGATGTGCTTCTATTACAAGGGAACCACAACACCTTGTCAATTTCTATTTAGATGAAAATTTTCGAATAAGTCAAGGATGGCGTATCTAGGCAACTCTGAAATTTTATAATCATTTCGACAGTTTCAGCCGAGTTATATCAGTTTCAGTACCAAATATCGCATTTTCAGTGAAAAACAACGGTCTTCAAAGTCGATTTTTTTTTCTTCTTCTTCTTGAGAGTATTTAGGAAAACAAAGTTCAAAATCGTTTTGAGTTCAATCATCTCGGTTTCTATGAGACATATCGAAAATTAGTCAACTGATAAAATGTTGGTGATGCTATGAAAATCGTTTTATCAGTTGAAAAATGGTTGTTATCTTTTGAAGGAAACGAGATAATTGAGCTCAAAGTGAACATGTAGAATGAAGTTCTATCGGAACATTTACGGTACTTTGTGGCTCGAGAACCTTCGAGCCATTCCAACATGAACAAAATATTCAGAACAAAAACATTTTCATTTTTCAGATGTTTAGAATTCGAAGTGATGGAAGTTTGTATCGAGTTACAAGGCCAACTAGGTGATGTAAATTTGAAAATCAAATGTGATTTTCATAATTAGGTACTAGTTTTCATAAAGCTGACAAATTACTTTGCAGAGCCAGTTGGATGAATTTCAAAATAAAATTCAAAATTCTTGGATCATCAAGTGTAAAATTAGTGTCTGGAAAGTGGGACAAGTTTCCGGTCCCTTAAATCTGGATTGGGTGAAAATAGCCTTGAATGCTTACAATTACACCATCTCAAAACAGTAACTGTAGCAGCTTATCTAGTATTCATTGAATTTTTGGGGTTGAAAAAATTTAGACCTTACTACTAATTATATCTCTAATTTTCATCAAAACTGGTTGTGTGCAGTACATTGAATCATTTTAGAAACACTGTTCGCAAAGTACCTTATTCTTATTTTCCAGTGATCCTTCGTTATTCTTTTCCCCACCGTAATCTTATCCATTGCTCACGCTTCAAACTTCGATCAAGCATTGCTTCAGACTCCGCCCTATTTTTTACTCAAAACTTTCTTCTATTTTTGCCCGTGTTCTCTAACTCCCTCTCTCCTTTTTTTCTTTACCGACGCTCCGCCCCCTTCCTTCTTCTTCTCCCGCCATCTCTTGACATTTTGTCACTTTCTTTCTCTTCTGACGTCCCGGTTACTTTTACCAAAAAAAAACTTTTTTGAATATTTTCAGAAGATTCTTCTTCTTTAATTCTATTTATTTTGTTATTATACGGTAAGCTTTTCTGCTAAACAGTGCCACGCTGGATGTGTTCGTTAGTCATAGTAACCTCATCAATTCAGGCTTATGACTAGAGACACATTCAGCTTGGCGCCAAACTATGCAGAACTTTTTTCTCTTTAATTTTTAAAAGCTTTCATAACATATTCTGACTGCAAAAATCCGTTATCTGGATACCAAATCTCTCAGAAGATTTTCGTTTCTATAATCTCTCCTCGTTTAGCCTCATTCTCTCGAAATGTTCGACCTCAAAACGGTAGGAGACAATACATTGGAAGGCATCCAAGGACACGAAAGTGATCGATAGGGGGCGAATGGAAAACAGTAGGAACAAGGAAAGGAAGAGGAAAAACGACGAAGGACACGTACAGAGACAATTTACGACTTGTCTCTTACCTCTGAATAGGGACGGAAGATTTGCATCTTCTGGATTCGGACAATAGGCGAAATGAGGGATAATCCAAAAAATTTCATTAGAACACTTTAGAGTTCGCCCGATGTTGCAGAACAGTTTTTCTTTTACAAAAGTGGGATAATGATGGGGGAAAGTGGGAGTGAGTGAGAGTACGACACAATTGATTGCTATTTTATAGTACAGGGGGTCTCGACTCTTACAAAAAATGAATTTGAATTAAACATTAGGGATAAGAAATTTCGCTTGGATTCCTTGCGATTTGAGGAACAAAAGAAAACGTTTTGGAAACGATGAGTTGATGGAGATCGCGGAAATAATTTAAAGAGGGGGGGGGGGGGTTTAAAAACTGGGAAAAGTGAGATAAAAACATTGAACAGTTGATGCTTATTTATTCCGAATCCGAGTCAAGAGTGGCGTATGACACTGGTCCCTTGCGAGCTCTTCCACTGAAAAATTAACAATCAAATTATGTTATATTCTAAAGAAACGAACGTTGTCTCTCTCGGAGCAATGACGAATGAATCATCATCATCATTGTCGTCATCCTCAGATGATGCTGCCTTCTTGGAAGACTTCTTTGAGAAGTACTCGTCTACGGTCTTCTTCTTGGGCTCAGCCTTCTTCGGAGCAGCCTTCTTTGCTGGAACAGCTTTCTTGGTGCTTGTCGATGGTTTCGTACCATCATCTGAATCATCATCGCTGGCCCCTTCCAAATCGCTGAACTCGCTCTTCTTCTTCTTCGGTGCTGGCTTCTTGGCAGCTGGTTTCTTCTTCTTCTCTGTATCCGAATCGGAGTCGAGAATGATGTCGTCGTCTGACTCGATCTTACGCTTCTGTGCAGTGCTTCTTGCGGTTGGTTTACGAATCACGACTTCGTCGTTATCGGAGTCGGAGAGTTCCTGAAAAAATTCAAATTTGTTGTTTTTTACATATCCATTAACTCACGTTGAATTCAACATCAGATCCAGACATCTGATCGGCATCTGACCATCCATCTCTCTCTTTCTTCTTTGGAGACTTGGTGGCAGCTGGAGACATGAACTTCTTGATGTCCTGTCCTTCGGGCTTCTCCTTCTTTGGCTCTTTCTTCGGCTCCTTTGGTTCCTTCACGACACGTTCCTTCTTTGGCTGTGACATCTTCTCATACTTGGCTTTCAATGCAGCATCAACCTTCGGCTCGATACGTTGTCCGTCCTTCGATGGAAGAACCTCAGCAGCAGCGATGGTTTTCTTGCCACGGCCACCCTTCGCATCAGCAGCCAACTTCTTGGTGGCATTCTTGATACTGGCGTCCTGGTCAGCCTTTTCTTTTGCCTCCTGTTTGTCAAGCTCAACCAAAAAGTTGTCTAAATCCTCATGCCAGAGATCTTGCCAAGTCTTCTTCTCAAGCTCCTTCATTTCTGCGAGCTTATCCTCGGACTCTTTTATCAATTTGTTCTTCTCTTCTTCGGAAAGCTTGATGAGTGCCATTCCGACGAGGTAGTCGTAGTCGGATAGTCTGGTTTCGAGAACCTTCGTGGTAAATGAAGCTGATGTTCCCTCTCCGTCTCCTTCCTCATCAACTTGGTCTTCTTCGTCGAGTTCCACCTCTCCAGATTCACGAAGCTCCTTCAGTTTCTGCTCTTCCTTCCACTTCTTGACCGGGTCTGGATCGAACTTCATTTTGATGAGGGTCTCAACGATAGACGCCTTCTTCTTGTTTTCCATAATGATCTCGTTGTTGATCTTAGCGAGAATGAAGCGAGCCTGATTGGTGAGCCGCTTGCTTTGAGCTTGAAGAACTCCGACCATGTATTCCTTTCTTTGAATGTACTTCTCCTTACGGACATCGAAGAATTCTTGAGTGATTTCTTCTGGAGTGGTATATGTGCGAAGACATCCAGCAGCGTCGAAAAGAACCATGCAGGTTGTATTGATGACTTGTTGAAGTTTGAAAACAGTGTGAAGATCTCCGGAACGTTCCAACTCAGCAAGCTTTCCCGGCGACAGTTTGACGACAAACTTGACAGTGGTGTCAGTATGGTACTCCTTGTAGTCAGAAACGATTGGGGTCTTCTTGTCTGTACTCTCCATCAACGATTCGAGAACCTTCTCCTTGTATTCCTGAGTCCAGGTCTTGATTGGCAGCTCAGTGATTTCAACGGTGTTGTCATCAAGTACAGCGACCTCTCCGTAGCAAGCATAACGAGATGGATCAATTTGAATGATTTTTCCGCGGAAGTTTTTGTACCATGGATCGAGGGCTTTCTGGGCTTCTCCAGCAATAAGCTTCTTCACGTTCTTTACGAGCTCCCGTGGATTGTAGTTAGGAATGTTGGTAGACCATCCAGTTCCGATTCCGGCAGCACCATTGACCAAAACCATTGGAATGATTGGGCAGTACCATTCCGGCTCGATACGTTGATTCTCTTCGTACAAGAAACGAAGGACATTGTCATCATTAGCTGGGAAGACGGAGCGTGTGACTGGAGAAAGCTGGGTGAAAATATAACGAGCCGAAGCACTGTCCTTTCCTCCTTGGAGACGAGTACCAAACTGTCCGATTGGAAGCAACACGTTGATGTTGTTAGATCCAACATAGTCTTGAGCAAGATTAATGATGGTTCCCATCAGCGAAACTTCTCCGTGATGGTATGCAGAAAGTTCGGCGACAGCTCCAGCCAACTGAGCAACCTTGACTTCACGCTTGTCTGCTCTTTTGAAGCAAGCGAAGAGAACCTTTCTTTGTCCAGGCTTGAACCCGTCAACAAGGCATGGAATGGAACGTTCATTATCGCAATTGGAGAAAAGAACCAACTCCTGGTTGACAAAGTCCTTGAATGTCACCGTGCGAGTGTCCTTGTTGTAAAGATACTCCTCAGCGAGTCCTTGTTGCTTTCTGGCCTTCTTCTCTTGCATCCACTTGGTCAACCAGTGTTTTCTCTCGTCAATCTTTTTTTTCGAAAAAGCCATATCGACAGCATTGTCGTCATCAGCTCCAGTGTACTTGAATCTGATACGATGGCGGACCATGTCGGAGAAGTATTCCTTGGCTTCCTTTGATGTGGAAGTACCCAATCCCTTGTAGTACTTGATTTTGTAGGTTTTCCAATTTTCAGTATTCATTCTCCACTCCGAATATTCCGGAATCGAGAAGAAAGAAATCTCTTCCTTTCCCTTCGTTGCCTTCACAATAGGAGTGATGAATTCTTCAACAAAATTACGCTGAATGAGGGATGGCCAGAAATGGTGAACGAAGTTGATGACGAGACCTTTGATGTGTGAACCGTCCTGATCTTGATCAGCCATCACCATCACCTTTCCGTAACGGAGAGTCTTGAAATCATCATCCGTCTCATACTTTTTCTTGTACTGAAGTCCAAGAATCTTGATCATTGCGTTGATTTCAGCATTATCCGCGATTTGCTTCATATTACCGTCGCGAACGTTGAGAAGCTTTCCACGAAGTGGGAAGACTCCGTACTTATCACGACCGACGATCGAAAGTCCGGAAACCGCCAAAGTCTTAGCAGAATCTCCCTCAGTAAGGATGAGCGTACACTGTTGCGAATTTTTTGTTCCAGCGTCGTTGGCGTCCTCGAGCTTTGGAATACCCTGGAAATCGAATAAAAATATGGAAATTTCTGAATATTAACAAATTTACCTTCAGCTTCGAGGTCTTCGTCTTGGAACACTTTTTGTTCAAATCATCCATCTGTTTGAATCGGACCCATGTCATGACAGCGTCAGTGATTCCAACATTGCCAGCAGCCTTAGAGAACTTCTCACTCAATGTACAGGTAGATCCAAATGACTTAGATTGGAGAGTCATCGTTTCCTTGGTTTGAGAATCGAAAGTTGGATTCTCAATGAGAGCGTTAACGAAGACCCACATGTGATTTTTGATCTGAAAAATAGTCTCGGTTATTTCAGAACGAAAACATATGAGCTGTTCGTATGTCTCTTGGTTAGTTCAATGCCTCAGATTCGCCTTTTAGTAATCAATATGTTTGATTTTCAGTTCTCAACTACGCCTAAACGAATAGAGTTCTGATGTTGCGTCGCGCCTTTAGACACTGAATAGACGTTTGCTTCAGCACCACTAAAGCGTCGCAGTTTGATTTTTCTTATGAAAGCCGAGACGAAGAATCGAATCAGTTTTTCTCAAAGAAATTCTTTGAAAATGCAGAGCTCCTCTACGTTGAGATTCCAAAGAATTCATATAACTAGGTTGTGTCCTCATCGGCTTACAATAAGGAGTAATACACTTTGTGATGATTAATTACCTGGAATGGCTTGATGTTCATAGCAGTCTTTGTCAATTTTCTCTTGATAGAATCGATGAATTTGGCAACCATCTGATCGGCAACATAGTCGACATGTCGTCCTCCTTTGGTAGTAGCGATACTATTAACGAAAGATACTTGTTGGAAGCCTTTCTCCGAGAGAGCCAAAGCGACCTGCCAACGATCTCCAACTTGTTCATAAGCGATTTTGAGCGGTTCTCCTTCATTTTGAAACTGATTAGTGTACATTTTAACGTAATCCTCAAATCCTTTGACTGGGATTCTCTCTCCGTTAAGGAAAACGGTGACACCCTTGGTGGATCCAGCTACGTCGTAGGCACGTCGGGCCATCAAATGGCAAATATCATCATCAAGCTCCTTCATCTTGAACTTGCTGAGATCTGGGCTGAAGGTAATTTTGGTAAAGTCCTCGCCAGTGCTCTTCTCAACGTCTGGGTCAGCTTCCTTGGTCATGTTTTTCACCCATGTTTGGGAAAACTTCTTATGGTACTCTTTTGAAGAAGTTTCCAATTTGAACTTCGTAGAGAAGATGTTACAAAGCTTGGCACCGTATCCGTTACGACCTCCGGTAACTTTTTTCTCGTCGTCGTTGTAGTTGGATGATGTGAGAAGAGTTCCGAAGATGAGCTCTGGAACGTAGACCTTCTCAACTTTGTGTAGAGTTACTGGAATTCCTTTTCCATTGTTGTACACAGAAATCGAATTTCTCTCTCTAAAAAAACACCGAAACTAGGTTAAATTCTGATTTATACTCACTTGTCAATGACAACTTTGATGGTGTTCATTTTTGGATCTCTCTGCTTGTTATCAGCAGCGTTAACCAAGATTTCATCGAAAATTTTGTAAAGACCAGGAACGTAGCGGATATCACGCTGCTCCAATTGGTTCTTCTCGGTGTTGAAGACCCACATGGGCGTCTGTTCAGTATATTCCACGGATCCGATGTAAGTATCCGGACGAAGCAAGATATGCTCGAGTTGGGATTTCTTTTGGTAGATATCCTCGATAGCCATTTTCTTTGAGCCACCGTTTTTCGTGTCGATGGATGTGAAGACATTGCGATCCTCCTCTGTCATCGCCATTGATGTATCGGCTGCGAAATTTCAAATTATAGCGATCATCAATCACTATTGTTTTTTTACCGTCATCATTCTTCTTTTTCTTTGGAGTTGTCTTCTTTGCTGGTGCCTTCTTTTTGGGCGTGTCGTCCATGAAATCGCTGTCCGAGTCGCTCATTCTGAGATCTGCAAATCCGATTTGAGAAATCAACATAGATAAATTACGAGCACGAGATAAATTGCAAGCAGAAAAAAAGCACCAGACGACGAGCAACGATCGCCTATTATGAATATAAATACCGAACAGGGAGAAAAAAGAAAAAGGGCTAGAATTGACCAACGTCTGGCAGATGTGATTTCCTGGAAACGCAGTCATATAACATCAAAAAATAGTCTCTTAGCGAAAGTCATCGCAGTAACTTCGAATGCCTTCTACATTCAAGGACTCGCAGAGACGATAATTCGAAAGGGATGTTGGGAACACAGAAAAAAAACTGGGGCGCGGGCGCTAACTAAAGAGAATCGATGCGCCTCGGCCAGGGACACAAACAACAAGAATGTGCGAGTATTCGAAAATGTTCCCTTCAAATTGGCGGCGTTTTGGCGCGCTCGGGTCTTGTCGCGCGCACAGTGAAAACGAGTGTTACCGTACTACTCGCCTCGAAATACGAATTTCAAGGATTGTCTGCGTCTCTAACAATAATACACAGGAAGAGAGCATATGCGAAAATATTCAAAAAGAATTTGTTGAAATTTCAGTTTCAATTCAGTAATTGTTGGGGAAGGTGTTTTGTAGTTGATAATAGTTCAAATAAATATTTTGAATCGAAAGATAAACATTTTAGATAGTTTTTCTTCACGAAATTCTTCAAATTTCATCGAGGATAAACCATCCATGCGCTTCTTGCTTTGTTTTTGTCGAAATTTTGCAATATTCTCAGTTGTTATGTTCAAAATTTACAGAGCAGTCGAAATGTGGAAGGATATTCGTGATTTTCACGAATATGTAACCACATTCACTGATTTCGACGACGATGACAAGCTGTCTCAGCTTCTCGTTCGACTGGAACAATATAAATGGCGAATGATAAATCTTCTCTCAAACCCGGTACGTATGTTTTATCTTGAACAGCAGTTCTAACAAATTTCTAAGAATTTTAAGAAGAGGACACCTGAAGAAAAAGCGAAAGCACAGAATGAGAAGTTGGAAGTCGAAGGGGTGGAGCTCTCACGATTCGAGCAGCTATCTGAGGAAGCGAAAATTCTTTCCGATGTTTTTGAGCTGAGAGTCAATGAAGCGTGCGACTTGATCTTAGCGGGAGAAGCTCAAAAAATGCATTTCGAAGGTCTGAACCGAGGACTTTGTGCGGTCGTTTGCTATTATGATGCTCACAGGTATTATGACACGCTTATGCCTAATTGCAATTCGTCTCTTTTTCAGACTCTTAGCCGCCGTTGTTCGTCAAATGTTGAAATGGGATCGAGAGGATGTTCCATCGCAAGTCACCGAATTCCTAGATGGTGCATTCATCCATGAGAATATGATAAAAATGCTGTTTCGTAAGTGTTTTTGATTCAGTCAATTCAAAAAGTTGTTTTTTTTTCAGAAAGATTGAACACTTTTAACGTCCAGTCCGTTTTCGCTCTTCTCCAGAATCCAGAAGTCAACGGTTTGGGCGGCTCAAAGCATCAGAAGCTGGTAAGGGAAACAAATGAATCAGTATATCAGAAAAATTGATATTTTCAGTTGAGAAATGTGATTGAAGAGACCCGAACAGAAATCATTCAATGCATCTCGTCAATTTGCGAATTTCCCGGATCACATGCAGTTCACATCTCGAATTATCTCTTCCAACTCGTTAAGGCTGCTCCTCCAGAGAAATTGAGTGTTGGCAATTTGACCGCATGGGTTTCCCTCATCAAACTTACATCTAGCGAAGTATTGTCACAAGGTAAATTACGAATATCTTAAAATTGAAGTCCTAACCCCCTGTTGAGAGTTTACAGTGCCTGACGCTACACAAGTGTTGACCAGTATGATCGGGCACATTCGAAATGAGACGGACTGGGCAGATCAAGCACTATGTGGAACTCTCCAGCTTGCTTGTGCAGTTTCTCTAAAGTCTATAGCCTCTTCACCCTCTGATCATTTGGGAATCGAAAATATCAAAGTAGATGTGGAAAGAGTCATTGATCGAGCTATTCGAAATATGGCTTTCCATTATCTTCGACAAGCTATCATCAAGTCGGAGCATTTCCGGTTCGCCCATCAGTTCATTATCATTGATGAGCTTCTGAAACAACTGGTCTCATATTTTCCCGCAAAGTTGATGGAAACTGAACGCAATTCGACAGATGAACTCAATTTTCTCGACGACCAGAAGGAAGCCGCGACGCCTGCATCTACAAAGAAGCCAGATCCAAGGAATCAAACTGTGAATTTGAATGACAAGGTTACTGCACAGCTTTCGACTACGGACCCCACGAATAACTACGACTCGGCGTTGTCGAATTATGAGAATTTCCTGCGCTGTTTTGTGGATTTGTATGAGATGCAAGTTACAGATTACGTTCATCAGCGAATGCCAAAAACGTATCGTGAAAGAGAACTTCAGGAACAAATTGAAGAGAGCAGCATGTCGTTCAGTACTGAAAGATCGGTTAGAGCTGTTTAGAATTTTAAATTTTTTGACTTCTGAAACTTTTCAGATCGAGCTTTGCCGTCTCTTGGAGCGTGCACGTATTCCAAATCATCATGTCGTTCATTCAGTTGCTTACCTTGAATTGTGTGCTGCTGTTTGTAAGAATCAACTCACTGCGGGACTTCTCTTCGATATTTTCTCAAGAGAACTCTCTGGACCAGACACCTATGGTTGGGAATCATTGACCGGTGCTCTAAAGGGATACGACAGGCTGTACAGAGAACAGAAATCAGTAACCAACTCTCGTTTCAATCAGAATCAGACAGTTAACATGAGCACAAGCTTCCAACAAAGTCAGAACAACCAGAGTCTAAATATCAACCTTCGACCCGGAGACAAGATCAAAATCCCAGCGCAGGAGCTTAGTGGGCTTGTAGCCTGGCTCCGAATGGCCACAAAAGTTGCTCAGTTTAACGAGAGAGCTGCTACAAGATTTTCCGACGATCCATCGTGGACAATGTGCGCTGCTGCAGCATCATTATCTACATCATCTGTGCCGCTGGCTTTGAAAGCTGCACTGATTGACTTGCTGACTTCTGTGGCTCGATTGAAACAGACTGCACCGAGAATTTGGCACGTTATACATCAGAACCAACTATGCTACGTCGAAGGAGATCGATTGAGAGGATTGCAAGAAGAATTGGAAATGAGAGAATGTATTGAGAAGCAGTATGATGTTTCGCTAGCCTTTGTAAAACTCATGACAACTCTTCTTATGCATCGATCTCTTCCGGAATATGCCACTCCATTTATTAAATTTGTGACACAAAGTATTCTGGGACACTTCCTCTTCCGTAGCTACAACAATGTTGTTCAAATGTGGGAGCTCGCTGAATGGTCGTTACGTGCTACTAATGCCCTTCTTGAGCACGGAATCGTGGAACCTAGATCAGTGGCTTCGGATGACATTCATATCGCAGTGCTGACCCAGTGTCTCAACGATACTCCAATGTTCAGATCGGTAAGTCTCCGTAACTTTTTGCATGGTATACTTTTCTTTTTCAGATCACAAGAGTCATTATGGAGGATTGCCAAGCTCACAACGACCCACATGTTACTCGTCAAGCTCCATCATCCGACGCTGCATTGATCGCACTGCGAATCATTTCTCGTGCGATTGTTCTTCATCCAGCTCTACGTTCCTGCGCACGTGTGACATCTAGCGACATACTCGTTGCTTCTATACCATCACTCATCTTCTGCCCAATCATCTCAGCTTCTCAATGCACACTTTTGGATCTCGTCTTCCATTATCTTCATATGGCTGATGATTATCCAGTTCATTCATTGTATGCTGCTAGAATCTTGCGAGACGTGATGGCTACTCGAGGAGCCGTGGAAACGAAAATGCTGGAAATACTGCGAACAAGAAAGTCAGCACCCTCTCATGTTAGGGCTATTCGAATCGCGATTTGTTCCAATTCCATTCAGTATACAATTGATGATTCGTTGTCGAAAGGTAAGACATTAGAAGTGTTATTATCATCAAAAATGTTGATTGTATTCCAGAAGAAGACACTGACAATCCACACTTCGCCAGGGGCGAAACTGCTCGACTAGTTCTCGAAACTCTTTCGGAAGCTATCGACAGTCATGTCACTAGATGCCGGAATCGTGTTACGGATACAAACAATATCTGCTACTACCTTCTTGCATTCCGTCCATCATACGCTAATACAAAAGAGCTCTACAAGACCGACGACTCGTTCACAGGCCTTCACTATGTGCTTCATATCATCGAGCAGTTCGTCAAATCGAAACAACCATTCAATTTGCCATTTTCTGCACTTCTGGAGCCTGCGTTCCGACTAATGCAACGTTTAGTCTCGATATCTTGTCCATTCTCTCAACCAGTATTATGTTTCATGAGATCTTCAAACATCATCGAACAACTAACAACATCTCCATTCATCTGCTCTGCTCTCACACTAGAAAACGCAAGAGACAACACTTATGCACAAGGAATCTTCGCAGTTCGTCGTATGATCGTTGGATACATCCTCCACTTCTCTGCTGTCGAAATTTCTGCAATGCTCACCACTGGACACTACACCCGTCCCGAGAAACTCTACCGTGCTCTTCTGGAGTCTTCATCTCTTGTTGCCGAATACACTCAAGATGATCTCGAAGAAGATGTGAACACAACGCTCGCTTCAAGAGCATCGGGAAGCAAAGATCATCCGAACTTGCTCTTCTCGCTGCTTCGACGAGCTACAGTACCACGAAAGAACGAGCTGGTTTATCCGAATTTGGTGCATTTCGATGTGGCAAAACTTCACGAGTTGTTCGATGCCTGCCTTACTACAAATATTTACGGAGTCGCTCAGTACGATGTTCTATATCTGAATCGTCTGATGCGCCGAGAAATTGATGCAGTTTACACAGATTCGTCAGAAATGAAATACGTTCAAAAGGAGCTTGAAAGTGTCTTAGAGTACTGCACAGAAGTCAACGCAAGTCTCTTATCGGAAAGTGCCAGCGAACGAATCGTATCTGGATGTACAGCTCTTCTCAACGTCTTCTCTGTGTTCGCTCCTGTGAATTTCTTCTCCAACCGGATGCAGTAAGTTCATTTCATTCTTAAGCATTCAAATTCTTGGCTTTTTTCAGGCTCGTCATCTTCCGAGACGCATGCTATGTGCTGATTGAAATGTGCTCTGGAGTCGGTGGAGCATCGCTAGTTTCTGCTTGCCAAACCTTCCATCGTCTTGTTCTGACAGTTACGAAACTCGCTCAAGTGGAGTATCCAAAGGTAAGAAACGAGAGATTTTTGTATAGAAAATGTTCATTATGAGAAAAGTGACAGGATAGTTCAAGCCTTCTGGTAGTGATCGGCAGCGTAGGCTCCTGATCCTCCGTGTCCGCCGGATCCACCGCGTCCTCCGGCTCCTCCGTGAGAACCACGGGCTGGGCATGGGCAGTACTCGCTGAAAATTAGAAGTGGAAGATTGAAATCTACTGTGCTAAAACTCACGCATCCTTTCCTGGTCTTCCAACCTTTCCTTCGGATCCTGGTCCTCCATCGAGTCCCTTCTCTCCTGGTCCTCCAGCTCCTCCTTGTGGTCCTGATGGTCCAGCTGGCCCAACTGGTCCGTTTCTTCCGTTCTCTCCAACTGGTCCTTGCTCTCCTTGTGGTCCACGTTGTCCCTTCGGTCCTGGGCGTCCGATTGGCTTGCGTCCATCGGCTCCCTTTTCTCCTGGGCGTCCCTCTGGTCCTTGCTTTCCTTGTGGTCCTGGGGCTCCCATCTCTCCTGGGTGTCCTGGGTTTCCGTCGCGTCCTGGGCGGCCGAGGGCTCCATCGGCTCCCTTCATTCCACGAAGTCCTGGGTGTCCGTTTGGTCCTGGAGCTCCTGGTGGTCCTCCTGGGCAGTAGTAGCAGAGTCCAGTGTCTTGTGGTTCTGGGGTAACATCCAAAGAGTCTTGTCCTGGCTTTCCGTCTTGTCCTGGAACTCCATTTGGTCCTGGAGATCCTGGGGCTCCCTTTGGTCCGGCTGGTCCAGCGTGGCACTTGTTCTCAGAGGCAGATTGGCATTGGCAGGATCCTCCTGATGGAGCTGGTCCAGCTGGAGCTTGAGCTCCGAAATCGTGAGCTGGAGCGGCGCCGCTTGGAGAGGAGTAGCTTCCGGCGTTTCCTGCATACCCCTCGGTGTATCCAGCATTACGACGTCCACGTCTGTTAGCAGCAGCGTTGGTTCCAATCGTAACCAGGTCTTTCCACATATTATCGGTCTCTTGCTGAAAATTTCAGTTGATAGAGGAGCGTTGTGTTTATCACAAGTATTTACTCTGAAGTTAGTGATCTCGGTGTCCAACTCAGTCCAGTATTCCTGAACATTGTTGAAGATCTGGCCAAGAGCCAGAAGAGAGCACAGAAGGGCAATGCCCGACAATGAGGAGGCGATAAATGTGGCGGTATGCAATTGCATACTTGGTTCTGAAAGTATACTATCTGAACTGAATAATTAGGAAAACTCAAAAAGTAATAAAATCTTCTTGATATTACAATCTTATCCAAGCCGCCCTTATATACTGTAGCTTTCATCCATAACCAGTACTTGAATAGGAGGATAACGCTGATATGATAAACACGCGAAACTTGTTAGAGAAGAGTCGCCTATGAGAAGATTGATGCTGTGTTGGGCAGTGAGATACAAAACAAGTAGAAGCTTTTGATTGATATGGTGTTCCCAAGTTAATAATAATGAGTTTGTTTGCAGCTTCTCGCTCAACGACGATTCTTCGCTCCTCTCTTCAAATCCATGATCGAACTGTTCTTGCAGCCAGGAGAAAAGTGTGTGGAAGCAAAGGTACTTGCTGAAGATACTTGGGAAAATGAAGAAATGAATTGTTTCAGGTTCAACTATACAAAACGATGAGATTCATTCTTCGGACCCTCTTCGAGAAGAATAGCGTAGATGTAGGAATTTCCAGAAAACTAATAATTCTAAAATCTAACCGGATTACAGATTGTTAACATTGCCGAGGAATGGTTACTCGATGGACGAATGAAGGCTCCAACTATGCTTTCTGACGATGAAATTGTGAATATTGTGGACAAAATGGGTGATGAGATAGCACGTCATCTGGAAAGCAACATCTCCGATTTCCCGAAGCATCGAAAGGCAGCAATCGTGATGTTGACCAGTGATCTCCTGCACGAGGATTTGAAGAGTAACAAGAAGATTTGTAATCATTTCTCGAAAAGTGGTGTTCCTCGGATTTTGTGTGACGAGCTTCTGGCTATCTCATTCGACTGGAACATTGTGACATCTGTCGACAAAGCGAAACGAGTCGCAGGAGTTAGTATGGCGGAGCACATTTCCAACTACAAACTTTTCGTCTCGATTCTAACTTGTTTCACACGATACGCCTTCTCCGAATCTGGATGGATAGTTCTTTCTGAGTTGGCAGTTATTGAGATTCTAGCCGAGATGCCCGCATTCATAGAACCACCAAAAGATCTTTTCCTGAAACCGGAAACTGTTAAAACGTGAGTGCCCTCGTCTGATAATCAGACTCGGATTGAGATCAATTAACTGTTCGATTTCAGAAAAGGAACAGCTGCAAATGGATACGCGAAAGTCTTAGATTTGGCACTTCACTTCTGCGAGCAAATGTGTTCTAAAACCAAATGGAAGAAGCAATCCTACAAAATTCTCCTCTTCATTCAACGTCTCGGTGAAGTGTTCCAGCAGCTGATGCGAGCTGAAATACAGTGTGAATGTCTGGAAACTGCCAAAGCGATTGTTTATGAAATATCTCTTAATGGTGAGGGAACTTTATTTTTCATTGCGAAGAAAATAATATTTCAGACGAAGCTTTGGTCGGTATCATTGATGGCGATCAAGTCCTTCGTGCACTGAAGCAAGCCGAAGAAGCGAAGGAGGTGAAATCGAATGCCCGTCAGAAATATATCAACGTTAACACGACATTCGGTGCTCCTCGTCAACTCTACTCCACACTGCAGCCATTCTAATCATTTTTTGTAACTGGTGATGACTCGAAATCCCATTCATTTTTTGTCAACTACGATTGTTATTTGTGAAATTTCATTTGAGCTACACCTACCTACACATTTCATATATTGTTGTCTGTTTTCTACGTGTTTATTATTCATTTCGAGCAATCAACTTCTATTAAATGATATGAGGAATCAATCTAACGACAATTTTTATTCAAGACAGTTTTACTTAAGTTCTCCACAATCCGCAATGACGCAAGGAGCCTTTGGTGATCCATCTTCAGACCCTTTCGATTCGATTGCTTTCACCACATCCATTCCTTCGATCACTTTTCCGAACACGACATGCTTTCCGTCAAGCCACGTAGTCTTGACTGTGCACAAGAAGAATTGCGAGCCGTTGGTGTTCTCACCGGCGTTGGCCATGGACAGAACACCCGGTCCGGTGTGTTTCTCCTTGAAGTTTTCATCTGGAAACGTCTCCCCGTAAATCGATTCACCGCCTGTGCCATTTCCAGCAGTGAAATCGCCGCCTTGAATCATGAATTCGGGAATGATACGATGGAATTTGGATCCTTTGAAGTGCAACTTCTTCTTCGATTTTCCCATTCCTTTCTCTCCGGTACAAAGGCAACGGAAGTTTTCGGCAGTTTTAGGGACGATGTCATTGTACAACTGAAATGTTATTGCGCTTCAAAAACTACAAACTACAAATTCTACCTCCATGACAATTCTTCCAGATTTCTTTCCACCAATTGTGATATCGAAGAACACTTTGGTACGTGGCATTGTTGTTTCCGCTTCTGGAGACGAACTGAAGATTCTGACTCTTCCCCTCGAAAATCACCTCTTTTGGTGGCATCCACGTTAAGGAGGGCAAGATCTAAAGAGCGTTCACGTTCAAATGACAGATTTTTAGTAAATTTTACTCAAAAGAATATATTTTTACAACACAGAGAAGATGAAAGTCAGTGAGCAGCAGTAGGTGCTGTGCAGCAACGACAAAACGACCCGCCGGGACAAACCGGAGAAGGAAAGAAAAGTAAACGGGGAAGAGGTGTGAAAAAAGAACGGGAAATTTTCAAGAGAGAGAGAGAGAGCACACAATCAATTTGAAGCGACCGGAAGATGAGGAACGGGGGAAGGTGTAGCGCCTGAAGAGAAATCGAAACAAAAAAAATATTGAAGTTCTTCAGACTTCAAGAAGAACAAAAAAAACAAAACGATAAAGTTAACTTCAGGTTGAACTTTCGGCAAAAGAGAAAAGGGAAACAGAGTACGATCAGAACTTCTAGAAACGTTAGGGGATGTGGGGGAAAGGAAATAATTACATTTTTCAAAAAGCGAATAAATATAGTGTGAGAGAAAACGAAGATAATCAACCATAAGAGCAAGAAAAAAAAAGAAAAATGATAGACTGATATGATCAGGGGAAGATCATTTTACTGCAGCTCGAATCAAATTCAGCGTGGGAGAAAAAAGAGAAATGGAAGACTTTGGGTGGGGAAAAGATCTAGATCTATAGATGGTGGAGCATGTAGACAACGAATTCGTAGGTTCCCATGGTGATGGCTGTGTTGGGTACAGTTCTCATGAGCTGAAAATTGAAGAAAAATTAGCCAATGAGGGAGACTGGTTCTGAAAATACCTGAACCGACAGTCCACGATACATCGATTTATGACCTTCTTTGTAAAGTTGATACAGTGTCTTGAAGAATCCACGAGCTTCTCCAGTCTCCTCACGAAGACGCGTACGTACCACCTCGTGTGGATAGGCAACAACACAGGCGATAAACTTCGCCGATCCACCAGCCACCATGAAGTTGAGGAAGTCCATTTTCCTTTTATCCATCTCATTTGCTTCAGTGAGCAACAATCCACGGAAATATTCATATATACAGAATTGAATCATCGTCTCCGAAACACCAGCGTACGAAGCGGTTACACCCTAAAAAACGGACTTGGCGAAAATTGAAAATCAAAATACTCACTTTGTAGAATCCTTTGAATCCTTCCCGCTTATGAATTCTCTTTATCATCTGCCAAATTCCAATGTGCCCTTGATGAAGTTGGAGCCGTGTCTTCACCAACCAAATCGGGTTGACAGCCGAAGCAGCGACGAATCCAGCGCATCCAGCTGATACCATATGAACTATTGCAGAATTTGGAATCAGCACCTCGGAATCGTTCCAAAACCGTTTTGATGTTGAATATGTGTAGAAGTAGACGGCTCTAAAGAAATAAATACTTTCTTTTGAATTTTAGGTCAAAAGCTCACTTGGAAGGCGCCACTCCAATCAAATTCGGTATGAGTCCCTTATAAAGTGCTCCAATACCTTCAGTCTTGATAACTTGTCTGCAAATAAATTATTTTCGTAAATTAGTTTCTGAACAATTACCCTATGTATCTGAACACAATAGTTCCCCGCCTTGGAGGTGGTGGGGTGGCGCTGGTTGACAGATTCCGAACGCAGTATTGAACGAGAGAAGTGGCTGTTGGATTGGTGACTGAAAATGATAAAAAATTGATGGTGATTTTTAGATTTTCGGGCACTCAGTACTTGAGGGTTAGGAAGCATATGAATACAACAAAAATAAGCTGGTAGAATAATAAATTAAGTTTTCATTACATTGATTGAAGATATTGGCTCTACTGGAAAACGCAGCAAAACCACCACCATTGATAATCCTTTCCAAAGCAAATTGTCCACCACGGAAGTTGGAACCTGGAATAAACACACATGATTTCAGGTTCTCAAGGTAGAAATTTACCGAAACTGTTTTTTTGGGAAACGACAGATTTGAAGAATCCATTGGATTTTGTTGATGAAGAAGAGGACGACGATTTCGTAGAAGAGCTACTTCCTGAAGAAGTACTGGGTCCGGATTGAGTATCCAGTCCGCGTTTCGATTGCATTCGTGTCTTCACCACTTCCAATGGACATGTGATGGCTGTGCCGGCAGTTCCACCGACTGCTCCGCCGATAAAGTGAATCGCGGCTTCCCGATCCATAAACATTTTGGTCTGATCTTCCGTAAACTGCTTTTTGCTGTGGTTCCTCCACTTTGACGACTGTTTTCAGAACACTTCCAATTCCACAGCGCGGCCAAGACGACAAGTTGGTAGAAGGCGATACGTCTGGAGGTCTGACGAGCCGAATTTTGACGCCGTTCTGAGGCGATCGGACGGTTACTGGTGTGCAGAGCAGTTCGAACGGCGGCTCTAAAAACTGAATAGGTGAATTCAGGAAGAACTAAGAAGGTCAAGAGAAAATAAGAAAAAGAACCATGCCCTTCCGGGTGAAATTCAATTGGAATCAATTCCAAACTCTGCCTAACTCGTTTTATCACTCGATCACCACAATCACACAGCAATCACGTGGAGGTGGTGAAAGTGGGCAACTAAATAAAATGAGAAGAAGAACACAGTGTGAAGAAGAAGCAGAGGGCCATTTGTTGCAGAAGAAGGAGGAAAAAAAACGAAATGTGGAGGAGAAAGAGGAGGACCGAGTGCTGTACTCATGTGATGATAACGAGATGGTGGTTTTGGTGGTGGTGACGGTTCGAACGAAAACAATTGAAGAAAGAGGAAGACCAAACTCTTAAAAAAAAGAAAACTCAAAAAGTTGCATAACAATAGCTAATGTGGGAAAAAACTTTGGGAATTCGAAAAGTGAATAAATTTTTGCATCATGACCTCGGAAACTCCCGCGCCAACAGATAGTACTGTGTGAAACTGGGTAGATAGAGTGGGAAAAGATAGTAAAGTTCACACTGCAACTGTCGGGTGTGACTGTTCGATTCGAATTAGTTTTCGAACATTTTGCCATTCTACTTCGAACGAAATTCAGAACTTTCACAAAGCTCTCTCGCTTGAAACAATGATGACAGTAGAACTTTGACCGCCAATAAAATTATAAAAATGACCGCCCATCATCATTTCGTTGCTTCTCTTTCACCACCTCGAAGAAGCTGCGATCAAAGAACCGTCAATCGAAACACGTTGAGTGTGTATTCGGTGGGAGACGGGCAACGTGGGTTAGCAAGTTCTACTCAACTAAACACTCGGTTCGAATGGACTTCGGATGCTCCAGAGAGCAAATGGCACCTGAGAAGATCGCGAAAAAAAGAGATGATTGAAGACAAGTGGTCGGAATTCTCTGACGAGTGGAGAACGTTTCAAAGAATGTTGCGATGTGTGTCACATTTCGTTCTTTGTTGAACAACAAAGTTTGTTCAGTAGGAATTTTCGAAAAAAAAAAATACAAAACCTAAACATATCAAAATGCATGTTGGACAGCATCGCTAGTTAAGGGCGGGAAAGGTAACTTTGGTCGAATTGTTTCTCTCGTCAGAGATCTCCTTCTCGAGATCGATTAATCTATTCGGGGTGAACAATACGAAAAATCGTCTCGAAAAACGGACATTCGAACTATTTTTCTAGCAATAAGAGGTCATGCTCTTTCCCAACGAAAACAACTGGCGAAATTACGATGTAAACATCAATTGCTCCTCGTTCTGTTCTGAAATAAACAGCAGGAACAATTAATCAAGATCTAACTTCGAATCGTTTGGAATCCAACTTTTGGATTTCAGACTATGAGGATTCTCGAGAAAACACCTGCAGACTAAAATGAACTGGAGGATGTATCATTTCAGTTCTTCACATGTATAATTCTCCAACAATAGGTCAACAATTCGGGAGGCACGTGCCTCTATGAGATGTTCTTGTGTTTCTCCCTCAATTTTAAGCAATAGGAAACAGAAAAAAAACACAAGAGAACGTCTGCCTAGGTAAAAACGACGAGAGAGGACACATGTGACTGTGTGGAACTGACTAACCGAAGGAGAAAAGAATGGCGACATTGTTGACGGAGGATCGGGATAGGTCATATAGAGAGTTGGAGAGGAGCAGAGATGGAAAGATTGAAAACGGACTGCAAATGATAAGGTGTGCGGACAAATTGGCAATAAATTGTCTTTCGTTTCTGCTGTTCAGTCTGGCACCAAATGTTATTTTTTATAACTTCCGAGATTTATCCCGTCATTTTCTAACAGCAAAGACTGCGATGATGTCAGATGAATATGTGACCATCTTTATCGAAAACAGGCAAAGTTGCAGCTGTCCTATACATAGATTTTCGGCATGTGTTTCAATATGGGAGGAGCTTATGAGAATGACGAAATAATCTTCTGATTCGAAGTGAAACAGTTCCACTTTGATTATCTGGAAAGTAGGCTTTTCTTCGGAAACGAGAAATCAGAGAAAATATAAAAAGTCAACTCAAAAGATGAGAAGTGATCTTTGTCATAGGGAACAAACAAAAATTTTGGAGTCTATTTCTTCCCATAGCATATTTCAGCTTGAAATTTTAATTAGGATTCCTGAACGGGTAAAAACTTCTGGACAGTCACAAAATTATGTGTAAAGACGGATTTGAGGGACAACAAAACGCGGTCACGATGATGATCTATCCGTTAGTTAGGGAAGATGCTTCTTTTTTCCGTATCTTCACATGTGAAGCACGTGCTTCTAAGAACTTTGTTCGATGAGTTTATCACAAGCCGATTAATGTTTCCAGTGGCGATAAAACAGTCACATGGCAAGCTAGAATAAAAAGACAAAAATTCTGAAAATTTAGGAAGAAATATGGAAAGAGAGCCAAAATGAGCACGAAGAAAAGTTTATTTTTTGAAAAATCGGGTGAAATAGCTGGGAGGCGCAGGAAGGTGGGCGGAGTCTGTGGGTTTACGAGCGGCGCACTGGCGCCGCGCGCTTTTTTCTGTTTTTTTTTGTTGTCGAGTTCTTGACTGAAAAATAAATAGAAAAATAGTTTTTATTCAACAAAACCAACAAAAACATTATCACACCAAAAGCAAGGCACGGCTCAGAGACCAGCTGATATTCAAGAAATTCTAAAAAAATCAAATGTAGACGAAGAAAAAGAACCCGTTTTCCACATTAAACGTTCTCGGAAACGAAAACCATCATCGGAAGGTGCTATATTCTAACAAGAATAAATATGAAAAAGAAGAAAAAGGAAAAAAATAACCTGGAAAAATGACTAAGATTGCAAGAATATCACAGGTTTGGAAGGAGAAAAAAAGTTTTGATTTTTGAGAAATCTTTGGCGAGAGATTTGAAAAAATTGAGAAAAAAAAGAAAAACACCAATTAAAAACATCGGGAACCCTGATTATACCGAAACAACAAGAGAGAGAAAAAAGGAAAATTTCAAAATCATATAAAATCGATTCATGGGGAGTCTGGATCCTGAAGATCGTCGTCACCATCCCCCGCGCCAACATGAACTTCAATTTTCTCGTTTCCAACAGAGATGTTCAAATCCGAAGCATCGTTGACAGAAACTCCACTATCATCAGAGAGAATATTCAGAATAGAGTCTTTTGTTGCCTGGGATTGAGCTTGCTGCTGTTTCCGGCGATTGTCAGCTCCAGGGAAGCACATCTCCAGCAGTCGACGGTATTCTTCACGAAGTTCAGCGCTGAAATAAGGAACATTTTTCTCGGAAGTAAGATTATCCCAACTTACGCAAAATCATGTGGCTGTAGCGTTGCTTCTCCGTGGACCTCCTTGATATGCGTCGATGCCAAGTACCTCCTTGTAAAGCTCGCTCCACATTTCGGACAACAATATTGTTTCTTCGAAGCATGAAGACGTGCGTGACGTGACAAATGATTCAAAAGATTCGCATACTGCCCATGCCTTGAGATGCTTTTTTTGCACAATTGACACTGGTAGAGCTCGCCGAAAGGTTCTTCTGTCTTCTGCTTCTTTGACCTTGGCTCCTGGAAGTTTGTCTGAATATTTATATAGCAACCCCCTTCCTGGTTTAAATGTTCTTACTCGATCAAAAAGCTCCAGTGCTTGGCTAAGAGTCAGATCTTCCAAATCGTCATCAACATCTACTGACATATCCGGATCTTCATTTCCCTCATCGCTTGGCTCTTCTTTCACACTGACGTCTTCATATTTTTCTTGTGGAGCACGGTGTGGAAGGATCGGTGAGATTGGGACAAACGGCCTTTTAAGATGCGACTGAAGTTTCAAATATTAGGTTATAATTATTTAACTAGAAGAGTCTTACCTTATCATTCTTAATTGGTGTGGAGCACACGAATTCCCTTTTTGGCGAACACAAAGTTGGAACTACGAGTGCTGCCGTGGTTACTGTAGCATACGATGGCGAAGCTCCAGCCATTGATGACGAGGATCGTGTCCGTGGAGGTGTTGAGGGTGTAGTTGGTGACGTGGTTGATGACGTTACCGCAGACGTGGAGTGGTTTGATGACGACGACTTCTCACAGGTTGGGCACAAGTTTTCGATGGTCTCGCCGATAGAGAGTTGGCGATGACCATGGGCAAACTGGAGAAAAAACATAATTGGAGATGAACAAAAATGGAAATCTGGGTTTTGTATTTAGCACCAATGGAAAAGTCAATCCGGTAAAGAAATTTCCCGATTATCCCGGAAATCTCTGAGAATCTATTTTCCAGGGTTTTTATTTTAAGTTATGGCAACTTTATATTTTGAAAACTTATTCAAACTGGGACCACTCTCAATTTAAGTGATCCCGTTCCACTAGTAGAAGACCACCCGAACCGTTAACTTTGAGCTCGATTATCTCGGTTCCTGTGAAAGATATCAAAAAGTGGTCCACTGGTAAAATATTGTTTACATTATGATAAATAATTTGTCAGTTAACTTCTTTTTGATATCTCTTTTATGAATCGAGATAATTGAGCGCAAAGTTTACGGTTTGGGTTAGAAAATCGGTATTTATTATGTTTTTGCAAAAAACGGCAAATTAAGGATCCGTACAAAAAGTTTTTCACTTCCAAAATGAATCTGAATTTATTTTTTATGTCTGTTGAAAATTTCAAACAAAGAGAACAATTTCTGACTACTTTTGTAGAGCATCAAAGCTTTTTTTTAATTGCTAGATGATTTTTTTTCTGGCGTGCAGTATTTTTTGTTGAAAGAGATGGTATGAAAATCCGCCAAGTACAAAAATATAGCTCTAATTTTGTTCCGGATTTTTATTAAAATGTTCTAGTTGTGCTTTGGAATTTTAGGTCGAAACATACCATGAATCCTGTAATACAGTAGAAGGACCCCACACTGTCAAGTTTGAACTCAATTATCTCAACTCCTATGCAAGATATACACATTGTTTCAACGGATAAAACTTTTGTGATATTATGATAAACACTTTATCAGTTGACAACATTTTGATATTTTCGACAAGAACCGGGATAAATTGGGCCAAATTTTAAAGTTATTGTCCCTTCTATTCCAGGTTTTACGGCATTCTAAAAAAAAGCCTTACCAATAGTTGCACCACATTTTGGAGCATCTTGTCATCTTTCAAGTTGAGGAGGACATACATTCTGTGTGTCAGGTTCTGAAAAATTTCATATTTAGAAGAATGTAAATACAAAAAAGGTTTCTAATGAAGAAAAAAGAGCAGATAAAATTTTAGGGTTCTTTTGACCTAGAATCTTCGTGGTAGAGGGTTATGAAGTCATTAGGAACTGAGATAGTGATAAGAAGAAATATAATTGAAGATCAGGAGAATCAAGAGAAACAAAGACACCCACACAGCCATACACCCAGGGGCGCCCCGGAACAAGAATTGGGAGGAAGAAAAAGAGATGAGAATGATGATGATGATAGGAAGAAAAGAATGAAATGGATTGGTGAAAAGGGAAGAAATGCATATCTAACATAAAACTGTGACCTCTTGGGTGTCTTTCTCTGTTTGTCTCGAAAATTTTCGGTCGCAATCGAGAAGCGACCGCCGCCAGGCTAGGGCGAAATCGAGAGAGAAGTAGAAAGACTTCATCATCACTTTGCAAATATCGTCAGTCAGTGCGGGAGAAATTTGGGGGGGGGGGGGAGGAGAGGTATAGGGTGTCTCTGATATCTCTCTGTGATCCTTCTTCTCCCCTATCTCTCTCCTGTCCCGTCTGAATACACCAAAATGATCGCGCCACGTTGTGAAGGGTGAGTAGTGGAGGGAAGAGACGATAGATAGCGGCGGAGAGGACCGTGGGGAGGAGATGGTAGGAAAAGAAAAAGTGAAAGAGAGAATCAGAGATTCGCCCCGGGAGTAGTAGGTGGGAAGAGGGAGAGGGAGTAAACATCGTTTTAAGGGAGACACCGGTGTTGAAAAGGCAAATGAGGTGGGTTTTATGACCTCGAATTCTGAAATGGGACACCGAGAAAGACGGTGGTAACGATAGTTTTTCCTCGCAGGGGTTTGGAGTCTTTGATTCAAAGATTTGTTTTTCTAATACTCTTGATGCTGATATTGAGGTTCTGTTAAACAGCATTGCTCGGCTCTAGAATTATAGAGAGTCAAAGTTTTGTAGTCCTGGGGTTTCGACTATTCCATTTTTATCGTTTTTTTAAAGTTTCTCAGTTTCTGGGTTGCCAAGATTCCGAGTTTTTGGGACCTCAGGAATTTTCAGATTCCCAGACCATAAGATTCGCAAGTCTGCGATTCTGTGATTCTAAAATTTTTGGAATGCTTCTAGTTTTGGAGAATCGGAAATTCTGAGTATTTTGGAAAAGGAAAACTTTGGAATATTTCCAATTTTTCGATTTTAGGAATTTTGGAGTTTTCCGGAATCTTCTCGGGTTTCTAAGTTTCGAGAAATTTCTTTCAGAACTTTTGGTATTCTGGGAATTTAGGATCTTACGATTCTAGAGTTCTGAAGTTTTGAGAAGTTCAGGAAATTAGAATATCGAAATTTAGTTGTCTAAAATTTTTCAAGATAAGATTTGAATCCTTAACTTCCAAAATTATTGAATAACTGTATTTTTAAATGTCTTTGCTGTATTCTGTAAGATTATATGATTCCGGAGTTCTGAATTGGGAGGTTCTGAGCCTCTACATGACTTCAGAAAATCAGGATTTCGAATTCCTAATGTTAGTTTCTTTTGAAATTTTCAGCACACGTTTTGAAGTTTCAGAATTCTGAAATGTTACCATTTTTCTGGATTACTGTATTTTTAATTGTCTCTTTCTTTTTATTCTCAAACCCTCAAAAAACCACTAAAATCAAGATGCATCGCCCCCAAACGCCTACGTGGCGCGGCGAGAAACAATTTGGCGAATCTCGTCTTCATCTCGCCCGCAGGTTGAGAGACAATAGGAGCGACATCGAAAAAAACCCCAATAAGGAAATTTGAAATTTTTCGTTGGGACAGAAAAAAAACGGAAAATTGGAGGAGTGTGTGTTGGTGAAACGATCGCCACAACCCTCTCTCTCTCTCTCTCTCTCTCTGTGTCTTTCCAACAGGTGTGATTCGAATTAAAAAAAAAGGTAGTAGTGGTAGGAGGACACGGACGGGCGGGAGCGAGAAATTTGTAAGTTTTTGTTGTGTTGGGGCGGTTGTGAGGGAGAGTTGAAGGACGTTTGCAGGGCAAATCGAAAGGTGTGTAAAATTGGATTTCTAGGGGTTAGATGCATTTTATGGGGAACAGATTTGTTGCCAATTCGTTTTGATGGGAATTCAGTGGTTGGGCAGTAAATGAGTTGGAATGGGTTATATCGGGTGAGAAGAATCGGAAAAGTGGAGAACCTGGATTGTGAGAATTGGTTATTGCTAGTTTTTGACCTACAAGGAATCTCCAAGGATTGGGAAATCTGTGCCAAAATCTCAGTAAGTATTAACTATTGAGCGTCTTACTATTGGATTCGGAGTCCCACATCCGAAAAATCAAATACCGTAAAACCTCTATTAGATGGACCGGCTCTTCTATACATAAATGTTTATGTTTAAAGAAACACATTTTGAAGAAGGCTCTCTTATTAGAGGGCCCTACTATTTTTCCAAACCCTTCTCAGAAGGTCCTTCTATTAGAGAAGCCTTTCAATTAAAGGGGCACTTCTAATACAGGTTTTACGGTATTTAGAGTGTTTTTATTCAAACTAATAGAGTTCTTCAAAGTTCTAGAATCTTAAGATTTGAAGATTGTGGACGAGAAACTTGGAGCTCAACATTCGAAATGCAGAACTCAAAGTTTTAGAATATCAGAAACTTTTTAAAAAATCCTTGAATCCGAAAAACCAACAACTTCAAAGTTATAAAAGTTTTTGAATTTCGCTTCAAATACCGTAGTCTTTGAATCTTGGAGCCAGAGAATCGTGAAATCCAAAAAGCTTCACATTTTAAACTGTTTAATCTCATAATTTCAGAATTTCTAGGGCCGGAAATCTTTTAAAAGTCTGAAAGAAATATCTAGGACAACATAAGTTGTACTGAAATTGGACTTCTCATTTTCTTTGCCCCCGCACCCTTCTACCCCCTCCATCCAATTATCTTTCTTGACTCTCTATATTTTTTCTTATTCTTTTTTCTGTTTCTCTCATTATGTAAAAAGATTTAGTGGTAGTGTGGGTTGGAGAAGACTATAAGCACCGCCCGTATCTCTTTTTTTTGCAATGAATCCTTCTTTTCCTTCTGGTAAAAGGAAGAGCAACGAACAAAAAAACTACCAAGCAGCAAAAAATTGGATGTGTCTTGAAAAAAAAAAAGAAGAAGAAGAAGAAGATAAAAAAGAAAAGACGATGGTGGTGACGGTGGTGGTGGTGGTGAAGTGTGGGAAAACTGAGGATGAACTGAAGCAAGGAGAATGAATTGCTGGAAAAAGAAGAACTAGAAAAGAAAATGGATTTGGGTGTGGGTAGAAGTAAAAAGCATGTCTGCTTTGGGTTATCAAAAGAGCGCCCTTGCTAAAAAATGTTTCTAGCTTTTATTTCATGGGTGGTCCTTGAGAAGAGGGGGGATAGATAAAGGGCTGCTGAAACACACTTTTATAGAACTATCAAAACTAGTTTCATCTGTAATTCTGGAGTCTCAGGATAAAAGAGCTCCTCGATACCGTAACCCTTCCAGTCAGAATTCAATAAGAAAGAGAAGTAAAAAGAGGTTGGACAATGAAAATATGACAATAAAACACATTTCGAAAATAAGGATCGGCGGCGACGGTGTTGGTTGGTTGTTGGGGGGAGAAAAGTGGAGGGCGCGCCCGACCCGACACCATACTGTCCCTTCTGTTTGTGTTATGACACAACACAGTGTCTCCCTTCTACTATCCACCGATATATAGACACAGGATGGAAAAGTATAGGGAAGAATCGACAGGGTGAAATAGTACTGGCAACCAAATAGACGACAAAATGACAATAGCGAGGGCGACGGGCCGGGAGAAGGGGAGGCAAAAGAGGGCGCGGGTGTCTTCCCCTAGATCTCTGACCGCACTCTTTTCAATCAACACTATTTCGTTTCGAGTCTTGCGGGAAAGGCTCCCGCACCGACGTATAACACTATTGGAATGGAGACGAAAAGACCTCGGATGAAAAAAATCGCTTTGGTGGAGGCGGTGGCTGTCCTCTTTTTTTTCAATTCGGTCGGTAAAAATCAAAAAACCATATTTTATAAGGTTGAGAAACTGAGAAAGGGAGTCTGGGAAGTATCAAAAGGACTTGAGAATTTTTGTTCCAGTGTGGAAATGTTCGTTTCAGATTTTAGATTTCTATAGATTCCAAACTAGATTAAAGATTCTGGAGGCTTGGAAAATTGTGAAGATTCAAGGATTACGAAAATTATTCAAAAAAAAAGAAATTTTCAAAATTGGTTTCTGTCATTTCTCAAGTTCTGGTTTTCAAAATTGAGATTTTGTAAAAAACCATCGCCAAATGGAGCTAAAAATAAAACGCCGATGGCAGTGGTCGAAGGTCCCACAATGACAACTACCGTAACCTAAAAATATTTTTCCAGATTTATTTTGTCGTTTTTTACTGAGTTTTTTTTCGAGTTTTCTGTTAATTTTTTTACGGTAGTTGTCGTTGTGGGACCGTCGGAAATAGCCTCCGGTGTTTCGCTTCCACAATATCTTTGCTAAATCCAAATCAACATGGTATCGAAACATTATTTTTCTAATTATTTTTTACTCCCACAAGAATCCCTCAATTTGGGAACTGACTAAAATTGTAGGATATGTGCTCCAATCTTTGAAAGTTCAATCTCTTACGTAATAGTCAAATCTTACTCTGATTCTGATCCCATCTAGCTCTAGAGTTAGAGTTTTCTTCAATATTTTTAATGAGTGAATACAAAACTTGAAGAAATGCTCATTCACAGAATGAAGAATGCGTGGTGGGTGTCAGTTAGAAAACGTCTAAAGACATGTCTCCTCATAGAAGAAAAATATTGGGAGCACACAAAAAAAAAAGAAGAGGTGGAGAGGTGTGTCCGTGGGAGGTCTCCGTTTTCGTTTGGCGTTGTGTTGGGTGTGTCGCCCCTGTCTCGTCTGTGCTCCCTTTCCCAACTCCTTCTCTGGAGCACTGCGTTGGTGTGTGGTGAGCTCCACGGCGC